ACTTGAGCCACAGCGCCACTTCCGGCTTTTTTCTTTTTTGCTTATGTGGTGCTGAGGAATCGAACCCAGGGCCTCAGGCATGCAAGGCAAACACTCTACCACTGAGCCACCTTCCCAGCCCCTGTCTGTCCTCTCTCTCACATACACTGTCTGTCCTCTCCTCATCCCCCTCATCTGGCCCTGGGGTTTGAACTCAGAGCCTGGGTGCTGTCCCTGAGCCTTTTATGCTCAAGGCTAGCACTCTTCCACTTGAGCCACAGATCCACTTCCTGGCTTTTTGTTTTTGAGTAGTTTATTATAGATAAGAGTCTCTTAGACATTCCTGCCCAGGCTGGCTTTGAATCCACGATTCTCAGATCTCAGTCTCCTGAGTAGCTAGGATTTCAGGTGTGAGCCACAGCTCTCTGCCTTCTCTTAACATCCCTGGTCACCATGGAATTACTGTCACATGATCAAGGCGCATTCCTCCCTCCTTTCATCATCATGACACCTTCACACAGATTTTGTTCCTTTAAAAGTTTATTTCCGATGAATAAAAAAAATAATTTATGTGGTTAGATAAATTAATTTATGTGATCAGACATCATGACAAGGGCAGAAGTTTCAACTTTCCTGTTTTCTTGGTGGTGTTGCCATTTGATGAAGCAGTGAGGGGTCCCACACTTGGAGAGTTTTGTAAGAGGAGGGGACACAGTCAGAGGGACTCACACAGCGACGCTTCTGCGGAGCCAAACCCACTTTATTAGAAAAGCAACAGCTCTTCTTCACCTCAATCAACAGACGCTCCATCACATACTCATTTCCCATGGCTATAACTTGTAACGCACAAACTCAGAGAGATGGAGGGGTGGTGTCCGGTACTTCCCTTTGGAAGGCCAGCACTTACAGGGCTCTGAGCAGATGTGGACCGTGAGCCACCCCCCATGGTTGTCAGGACCTTCAGGTTCTGAAACTCTGGGGATCACTCAGCGTGCAGTGAATATTTTCTCCAGATTCCTGGGGTTTTATGAAGGCTCTCAGAAACAGACATCTCCTTGGCTAGCGGAGAGTTTGATTCTTCCATGAATCAGTCGATGCTGGGGATCTGGCCATGCAGGAGCCAGAATCTCAGAACTGGGAGAGCTTTGGGAGTCTATTCACCATGAAGGAAACTTAGGCTTCTCAGGGAGAGGCCTTTCCATTTCTTGGAAGCAGAGCGTATTTTTTTTTTTAACCTTGGTTCCTTCATGAAGTTTTTCACTTTGGGGGTAACTTGGGAGGTAGGGTGTACTCTTAAGGTGTGGTACATTTTAGTTATATTTTTTCTTTTAAATATAGATGAGGGATCTTCTTTTGTTGTCTGTACAGTCATTGGTTGACCAAATACCCAGAAAGCAATAGGTTAGGGCTATGAGAAACACAGAGGGATTTCTGGGATCAAAGCCTGTGCCTACAGGGCTGGCTGAGCCTTAAAGGCCTATGAAGACTCCAGGCTGGGCAGCTGCCTCTGTACCCATGATGACATAGAACCAGCCAGGGCATAAGCACTTGCTTGGGCTAAGCCAACTTCCAAGGCCACTTGGGACTGGACACTGGGAGAGATAAATGAGAGCTGGCTGACGGAGCACCAACTTTAGCATGCCAGTTTAGTGACTTCCAAAAGGCAGAACCAGCTGAAATCCAAACTCCCAAATCATTAGGCGTTTTCAAAGTTCCAGATCATTGTTTTTTTAACCTTCAGAAACAGCACTTTCTAGATACAAAGGCCAGCCTAGTGCTCCACCCCTGAGGCTGACACCCATCCATGCACCTGCTCATTCCACAGGAGACTGTGTTGCTATACTCCAGGCTAGGGACCCTTTTACCGCGAAAACCACCTTCCTGTTAGATGCTCTGAAAGTTGATACTCCAACTATACCTCACTCATGCATTTCTTTCCCTTTGTGGAACCAGATGCTCCACCCATACACATCCAGGGCACTTTCAGTAACACTTATTAAATAATGCCCCAAACACCATTTACAAGCTTTATCTGAAACCAGATAAGATGCAGCCAGCCTTGAGGTCATTCACACACACTTATTCACAGGTAGGCAAGAAAGGGCCAGAGAAACACCAGGACCAACATCACCAGGTGATGCCTGGGAACCAACTTCTCAAATGCTTCTAGCAGTAGCCAGCTCCAGACAGGAGGGCAATTATACAGGTCCTATAAAAATAAACTGTTCTTTAACATAAAGGGCAGGGCATTCCATTTGGTTTGTCTCCAGAAGTTTTTCTGGTTTCAAATGCAGTCAAGGTTTGAAACAATCCTGAGACAGGGGCAGAGAATTCTCTGCCTGTTCTTGTCTTGCTCCTAGGATGTCAGTAGGTGACAAGGGATAGGAAGGGTGCTGGGCCTAGCCTAGAGGAAAGAGGGAGAGCTGGGCCTGGGGCCCCCTCCCCAGAGCGTTGTTATTTGACGTCATTAACACAGTTTGACTCTGAACTCTTGGGTCTGACTCTTATTAGTCATCTGGGAAAGCGCCACATACCATTCCTCATGCCCAATAAGAATAGGCATAAAGAGTGGTTTTTACCTACCTTCAAGGGTAGGCAAGATCTTACTTCTCCTTGAGAGAAGCAGACACTAGCACCCTTCCTCTGTCAGAACTGGTGAACCTTCCCCCAGCTCCCCACTTCCTTCTCTCTCCACCCGCTTTCCATTCACATTCGATCTCTATTATCGACACTCATTTTTCTACCTGTCCAAAAATTAAAAAAAAAGGTTCTAATATGTGTAGTACTTTATTGTACCACATCAATATGGGGATCTGTCAGGAGATGAACTATATTTTAAAACCATAGCAGAACCCAAGCTGGGATGTGCTAATGCAGGATCCCGAGACAGGGTGGACAGCTTACTTACATCATTAAAGGGCCAGAGTGGTGGAATTTTGAAATGTAGAAAGGTAGATTCAACATAAGACAGGGTACCCCATCCCAGGGGAGGAAACAGATAGATATATATCTTAAACAGTCCTGTAAACCAAACCAAGCACCCACTCACTCTCCTCTTCCCTCCTCAAATCCTTTACGCTCTTTCTGCCTAGCATGAGCCTTTCTCCCACAGCCATTCAGGTGTCATCTTAGGTGGTTCAGATGAAAGGAAATTCAAGCTCTTAAAATGCCCTTCCTAGGAGAGAGAGGTCTTGGAAAAGGAAAAGGAAAGAGAAGAAATAGGGAAGACTGGATGTGATATCTGAAACCCTGCACATCTTCAGTTTTGTGACCATCAGCAACACTACCATCACGAAAGGTCCACGTGGATTTTAGGATGCATCTTGACTTTAGGAATATTAAGATATGGAAAAATAACAATGTCTTCTTTCTAAGCAGGCTCCTGTCCATCCTGCAATTGGAGCCTTCTAAGAGCAAAGAGACTGATGTGGAACTTGAAGATGGGGTCATCCTATTTCAGCTGAAGCCCCCCTCCCCCACCAACTCCTTAAATAGGGGTGCAGCATGATTGTCATGGGGAGGGGGGCATTGTTTGTATGCATGCATCTGTAGGAACTGAACCAGCCTCTGGGTAAGGAGCCCATGTGTTTTATTCCAGCCCTTGCCCGTCGGGCCCTGGAAGCTTCCCGCAAATCTGCCCTTTGGAGGATGGAGGAACAAATAAAAAGAACTGCTTGATTTTCTGGGCCACACAATACAAGATGGGTAATGATTGTACAAGGAGCTTACACAAGGAAGCAAGAAGGCGTGCAAATGGGTGAGATTCTTTACCCCTTGGGTGAGCCAGTGCTCGAGACATGGAAGGGGTGACCTCAGGGCCCCTTCCAGAGTTCACCTAGGTTTGTGTTTTCTGGCTTTTAGTCACCATGTCCAACTCCAACTTCTATCTTCCCTTGGAAGGGAGAAGGATGTCTGTGGGTGTCCGTGGTATCAGTGGTCCCCAGGGCCACTTTTTTTTTTAACCCCAAAGATTGTTTCACAGAGGCCCCAGAGCTGTCCTAGAGGAGGATGAACAAAAGCAAAAGGTTTCTGAGAACGACATAATACTGACTTCTTGTTTTGGGTAACAGTCCACAAAAAACGTGCACCCCTCTCTCTTGAGATATAGCGAGGTTTGAGGGGAGGTGGCAGAGGAGCTCTGGGTGGGACACTGTACCGTGTGACGTCATGATTACGCAGCGCAGCGTGTGCCGACAGGACAGAGGAGTAAGGAGACTCCAGGCTCTGGGATCCTCCCCCAGAGAGAGGCAGGCAGCTGCTCCTAAGTTAAGTGCCCAGCTCTCAGGAATACCATCTGTCCAGTTCTTGTTGGGGGGCAATTCCTGGGGCTGGCCATCCTGGCCTGGTCTTAGCCTTCATCCTCCCTCAGCTCAGTGGGTAGGAATTTATACTGCTGCTGGCGGATCTGGGCCAGCTTTTTCCTCGCTTCTTCCAGTTCTCGTTCTTTCTTTAACATTTCCTCCTGGGCTGCGATGATCTAGAAGGAAAGCAAGCAAGAAGCGGGATGGATCGAAATGCTTCTTAGGAAATGGCTCTCTCTCCCACGGCCCCTGGCACAAGCGAACACTTATGCACTGAGGAGCTGTGTTCATAGCACTGGAGATCAGTGGTTCAACTGCTCTAAGAAAACTACTTCTGGAAAGTGACTTCCTGCCTAGGCACCTGGCTGAGGTGTTAGCAGCCTGTAAAGTATGTCTTAGTCACAAAGTCCTACTTGTCCAACAAGGAGCCTGAAGCTGAGAGGTGTGGGTCCGGCGCATTGGAGTCACTCAGCTGGGAGAGGAAGACTACGGCCAGGGATGTCGATGCTAAAGCAGGTACCCACAACCATTAGGTGGCCTTCAAATATAGTTGGCTCTTAGCACCCAAGTTCCTGGGCTCCTCACAGACAGCAAAATTCATGGATGCTCAGATCCCTTTTGTAATGTGCATAGTATTTTCATTATGTACAACTTCTTGTACACTTTAGTTTGTCTCTAGTTACTGAGTATCATCAGGTACTGATGGCTAGCCTACTCAGGTACTGGCTAGCCTACTCAGGAGACTGGACCAAGAGGTGCAAAGCAGCCTGAGTAGAAAAGTTCTGTGTGGCTCTGATTTTCAATTAACCACAAAAATGACAGACTGGAGGTGTGGATCAAGTGGTAGAGCACCAGTCCTGAGCAAGAAAGCTGAGAGCCTAAGGCTCTGAGTTTAGATTCCAGTCATGCCCCCCATAGAAAGGCCTTGTACAGAGTTGCTACATGGTATTTAGGGAAGAGTGACAAGAAAAAGTCTATACACCTTCAGTACAGATGTAGTTTGTTTCCTGAGTATCAATCAACAGTTGATTGATCTAAGGATAAAGAACCTGTATCTAGATGCAGAAGACTCTATTCATTTCATGTTCCTAAGGTATGATCTGTGGAATATTAGCCAGTAGGTAATTATGTAGCAACAGTTAGCTTATGTTCAAGAAAGCCAACCAAGTTCCTTTTCTTTGGGCCTTTTCACAACCTTCGCAGAGCTAACAAGTTTTGTGTGGGTGTTTAGTGCTGTGTTCCCCAGTTTTATTTATAGGCTCTTCTCTGTGGAACTTGTAGTGGGACAAGGAAGGTATAGTTAGGTAATCATGCACCCCACATTGCCCAGTGGTTCAGAGGAGATAGTGAGGGAGTCACTGCAGAGTTCCTGGTGCCGATAAGAAAACCAGCCCCATATAACTGATCATTATTAACACTCCTCCCTCTCATGCTTGACAATGCAGAAGTGTGTCCCGCGTAGTCCTAAAAAGCTTCTGGAACAGAGTAAACATCCATTCATTCTTTCTGTGGGGCCAAATGGCCAGAGAGGGAAACAGCCCCAAATGTATCATTTTATTTCGGGGATACCATTGCTGACCTCCAATTTCTGTTCCCTGAGTTTTAGCTAGGTATTTGGTTACTCAGGAAAAGACTACATTTCCCAGCCTCCTATGCAGCTAGGTTAGCCATGTGACTAAGTGTTAACCAATACTATGAGACAGTAAGAGATGGATGTAACTTCAGGGTCATGCCCTCCCCTTCCTTTTGCTTTTCCTCTTTCTGGCAGATGAAAAGTGGGGGTAGTCAATGAGCCAACCAAGTAGCCAAGGGCATCATCTCAGAGCTAGGGAGAATAAGAACTATGGAGTTGGTAGGGTGGGGAGGGGGGTAGATCTTAGACACAAAGAAACTATATCATCTTGGAGAAATACATGCCCATCATGTTTAAGTAGCTGTTTCCTTGAGCACCTATTCTAAGTTAGCACTCACACTGTTCTGGGTTTAGTTACTAACCTGAGCAATGCCTCCCACAAATTTTGTTTTGACTACGACATCATCATCATCAGCTTTGCCAAATGCCGCCTTCTGGGCTGCACGGACGAGATTGTCTGAGGCTCTCTTCACAGCGTTACCTGCCGCCTGGAGAGGGAGCAACACACAGCCTATCATTAGCCACCACCTTTGGGTCTGGCAAGAACAGAAATGAAGGTGCAGTTCATGAGTCTAGGAGTTCATTTATCCTCCTGTTACAGCACAGAGGTGCCAGCCAGTGAGTATCCATCTGACTATCTATCTGTCTATCAACTCTACCAACACCAACACCTGCCTAACCACAGTCATCCATAGATGAGTGAGACATAGTTCCTGGCCCCCAAGGAGTACATGCTTTTGAGGGAAACTGCAATCATGTAATAAATGACTACAGCAAGGTGGTGTGTGTGTGTGTGTGTGCAGAAGTCTGCTCAGGGTCCACCTCCACGGACCCCCTGCCTTCATTTTAGTTAGTACATACTTGAGGACTTGGCTCAGATAACACTTTTTCTGGTCTGCCATGGCTCTACCTGTATGCCTTCCTTAGGGCTCCTGGAGTGGTCTGTGCCAGCTTCTTAGCAACTCTGACCAACCACACTGTCTCCTTCCAAGCCAATGATGACTTGGGAGCAAAAGCAGTAACTCCAATTTTTGCACCCCAGCACCTGGTACAGTCACAGCCCAGAGTGGGTGGCATCATGCATGGAAGGTATCCTGAGGGTCTGAAGGGGCTAGGAATGTATAATTCACACATTCACCCATTTATATTAGAAGTCAAATGAAGGTAAGGAAGGAGGGTTAGAGAGGCTTAGGAGGACCATGCACTCTGGGCCTTCCAAAGTAAAAGGAGTTCTGAATTCTGGTAGAACTGTTCACATATTTATGTGCTTTATGATTTTATTCATGACTTACATATTGCATAGAGTTCAGAAATATAGGTAGTCTACACTATAAGAACACTGAACCATAGTGAAATTTTAGAAATATTGGAGAACAAACAAAATGTGCAAAGTATAGGGAAATTCTGGCATTTTTTTCAGCTGATGTAATTCCATGCAACCATTACAAATGAGAGTCATGAAGAATGAAGCCTTGTCTCGGAGGGGGAAAAATGTGCATGCTAACATGTGAAGTGAAACGGGGGCAAGATGTATCTTGCTATGATCACAACCAGACAGAATCATCTTCTATGTCAATAACGACAGGAAGAGAAGACAATGGGCCATTTGATGTGTGAAGATGTTGAACCTGTGTAAAAATTTTTCTTTTCATTCGAATGTTTCCTTCATTGTGTTTGAAATATATTTTTATAATTGAAGCAACTAGAAAAAACATGTATGTGGGTATACATACATACATATTTGTATATGTATGTATATATACATAAGGATTTGATAGTCATTTTCATAAAACATGTTCTCTGGGCATCCTGAAACACTCTTTCATAAATCCTCTGCTGGAGCGAATGGTGATCTAGGGGTTCCCCTGAATCGGACACCATGTTAGAGGTGACGGATGCCACAAGGACGATGTGGTACTAGACACAAATAAAAATAAAAGCAGGAAAGCCATGTGACAAGAACCATCAGAGTGGCCAGGCCAGGGACTTTGGCAGAAACAGAGAAGGAACTGAATGTCTGAATCATCAGAGAAGGCTTCCCAGAAGGGGAGCCTTTGAGACAATCACAAAGGACAAGTAGGAGTTTGTCAGCCTGGGCTGGCAGGAGGCCAGGCCACTCTAGGTAAACAGTGTCCCCAAGGCATGAGCCGGGAAGGCCCAGGTTGGGGAGGTGACCATGGCAGGCAGCAGATGTGGAATGCATGGACTCACGAGGCAGAAGATGAGGCTGGAAGGTGTGGCGGAGTTGGCTGATGAAGGCCTGGTGGGGTCATGCCAAAGAAGTGAGACTTATCCCCTTTCGTGACACTTACCCGCTCCAACAGGAGTACTTTCCCACCAGCATCAGTGACCATTACCTGTAGCCGCCTCATGGCCTCTGAATCCTGGTCGGCTTTCACCTTGCAGGCCACCAGTAGCTGAGCCGTGGACGCGGCCACCTGCTTGGCGGATGAGATGAGTTTCTCTTCGCTGGCGTGTCCCTGCACAGAGGCATTGGCGGCCTCACAGAGGCTGCTGGTTGCAGCTGCCACCATCCGGGCCTGAGGATAATAGACAGAGAGAGGTAACCCAAGGTCCCAACTTCCCTTGGGGCATCCTCAAAGCAACTGGGGAGGAAGCAGAAGGTGACTCACAGCAGAAATCAGCCCCTGGGACCACTGGCCGTCATCTGCAGCATTGGCAGGGATGGAGCCCACCTGGAGAAGGGAGGAGAGATCTGCAATGAGAGCTGGCAAGTACAGTGGCAGCATAGCACCTCTTGGGACCCTTCCTCGCCCTACAGCTAGACACATGACACACAGGGCTGTCTGGTGTTTTCTATCCATCTCACCATCCTGAGAACCAAATACCCTCTCCCAGATGCTACCCACAATGCCCCTGTTTCCATACCAGCCACAGGGGCAAAGGTTGCTGCTCAGAACAGCCCCCATTTAGCTGCTGTTGTTTTGTTTATTTATTGTTATAGCTTTTTAGGGAGAGAGGAACCAGTGTTTTCTTTTTTTCTTTTTTGTATGTGTGTGTGCTAGTCCTGGGGCCTGAAGTCAGGTCCTGACTTCTGTCCCTGAGCTCTACCACTTGAGCCACAGCTCCACTTCTGTTTATTTATTTATTTTGGTGGTGGTTAATTGGAGATTAGAATCTCATATACTTTTTTCTGCCCAGGTTGGCTTCAAATCGTGATCCTAAAATTTCAGACTTCTGAATAAATAGGATTACAGGTGTAAGCCTCCTGTACCTGCTCAGTACTAGGGTTTGAACTAAAGGCCTCATGCTTGCTAGACAAATACTTTACCACTTGCCCTATCTGCTTTTATAATTTTTAGATAGGCTCTCATGCTTTTTGTCTAGGCTGGCCTTAGGTCTGTGATTCTCCTATTTCTACATTCTGGATTATAGGCATGTACCATTGTGCCTGGTATATGAGTACTATATTTTTGGGAAATGGCTCAGGGATGATGGTTTGGTGATATTGGTGTGTATGTGTGTGGGGGGGTGTAGGGGGAAGGAGGGTTCTGGGGCTTAAACTCAGGGCCTTGACACTGTCCATGAGCTTCTTTTGCTCAAGGCTAATGCTCTACCACTTGAGCCACAGTGCCACTTCTGGCTTTGTCTGAGCAGTTTATTGGAGATACGAATCTCACAGACTTTTCTGCCTGGGCTAGCTTGGAACCATGATCCTTAAATCTTAACCTCCTGAATAGCTAGGATAACAGGCGTGAGCATGGCCTGGTGATGCCTTTATACCCTTATGTCTTCTGCTGACCTTTCCCCAGTGTGAAACATGGAAGCCACCAAGGCCTCTTTCAAGGGCCAATAGAAACTCGAATTACTCCTGATTCCCGATTCTTCAAGCCACGCTCTAAGTTTCTGGCAGACATTTCAACAGGGTAGTGCATTTCTCCCTGTAAAATTGAGGGTGGGCTCTTGTCTTAGGAAATTCCAGATTATTCTGTTAGGTGTGAGGAGAGAGGAGGCTGGAAGGAAGAAGGATCTAATCTTACTTACAAAACATGGCGGTAATAAGAGATTTTTCTATCCAGATCTAAAGGGTGTAACAGGAAATAACCTTTTCGTGCACGGAGATGCTCAAAAGGTACTGAGGAGCATCTCAATTTGAAAACAAGGTTAGGGAATCTGTCAGCAATCACAGGGACCTGCTCAGTGTCAGATCAAACCCTAAGGTCCTGCATAGAATCCTACAGCCTACCCGAGATCAACGGGCCCTCCTTCACCAACTGTTCAAATGTTTGAACATCAAAGTTTCTTGGAGGATAGGAGATCGGTCAAGCTCAAGCAGGAGTATTCCCTAGTGTATAGGAATAATGTCTAGCACACAGATAAGCTCTGTTCACGTAAACTGAAGTCCTGAGGCTGGATGTCCCATTCAATGAGACATCTGAAGTCTGTGTGGTAAGATCAGCACCCTGCTGAGCATACAGGGCTGAAATGAGAAGGACAAGAAGACAGTAACACCACTGACAAGAGGGGAAACACACCCACATGGATCCTGAGAAAAACTAGATGATGGTTGAGACAGGTCAAAGTATGTGGGTTGGACGAAGACACAGTGGCTTTCTAGGAGAGGATGCACATTTATGGTCAGGCAAAATGCTTCTTATTCTATGACAGGACACAACCCATCTTGCCTTTCATCACCATACACAAGTAGCTGACAGTGACCAAAGTTCCCAGCCTACAACCTGAGAGACTCTAGCCCTCAATTTGACAAGTTTTTGCATTGGAGAGACCTTGATTGGACAGGATGGGCCCACACTGTATGGTAAAAACAGGACACATGATGTATTTTACATCAAAAGAATGCTCTATTCTCCTGAATTAATCTAATGTACCATTAGTCTTCTGAACTATTAAAACAACAACAACAAAGATGCGTCTGTTGTAATGCAGACAGCATGGTGACCAGAGAGGAAGTAGACTATGGAAAGTGCTAGCTGCAGAGTTGGCCAGCATTCAGTTGAACAGTCTTAAGCCAAGTGGAGCCATCTGCAGTTGCAAAGCAGGATTTGAAAGCACCTGGTCCAGGGTGCTTGCTATGTTATTCCCCAGGAAGCGGGAACACTTTGCATCTCTAAATAGCCTAGTGTACAGTGAGGCTGGAAGGGCCTCCTCCAGGCCCTGGTTATTTTCCTTAACAAGAAGCAGATGTGAAGCTAGAAACCAGTCCTTGTATCTAGCTGTGGAAGGGTAAGCAGAGTTTTTTGGTGACAGGCAATCTGGGAGGGAGGAAAGCAGAACACCCAGCATGCAATCCCTTCTTTAAGCTGAAGCTTTCTCTTCTTTTCTTGGGTGTCTCTCCCCCATGGATGCTCTCCCTCCTGACCAGCCAGGTTTACCCACCTTGCCTTGGGCCACCAGCTCCCTCTGGGCTGCTGAGGCTGACTTGACCAGGGCACTTGTGGCAGCAGCAATGGATTTAGCAGCTTCTAAGATCTGTTCTTCAAAATCCAAGGTCTCATCTGCTTGCTACAACCAAAAGAAAACCAGATTATGTGCAATTCATATTCACAAAGGGTTCTTTCTGCCCAATTACTTACTGTGCAGTCACCCGGCTCTTCATTTGCCTATGGCTTTTTTTTTTTTTTTAAATCACTAAGTTACACCTAGGTAGAAAAACCTAAGTTGTCAGGAGGCTTCTCGATCTTCTACTCCCTTCCCTCACCCTAGAAGGTAAAAGCTGGTAGCAATGAGATTCTATATTTTCAATCAGGAAATTCCAGGATGAACTATTTCCCACCCCCTTACCAGAATCTTTAAAGAGGCAGAAACTCAATAACTGTCAATAAGAAATAAGCCAAATCAGCTGGGCACTGGCGGCCAATGCCTGTAATCCTAGTTACTCAGGAGGCTGAGATCTGAGGATCGAGGTTCAAAGCCAGCCCGGGCAGAAAAGGCCATGAAACTCTTATCTCCAATAAACCACCAGAAAACCGGAAGTGGCACTGTGGCTCAAGTGGTAGAGTGCTAGCCTTGAGCTGAAGAGCTGAAGGACAACACTCAGGCCCAGAGTTCAAGACCTATGACTAACAAAAAAAAAAGGGAAAAAAAAAAAGAAAGAAATAAGCCAAATCAAAGTAATAGCTCACAGAATACTTAAGATGTGCTGGTACCTTACAGATACTCTAAGAGATAATAGTAGAGTACAACAAAATTTTCTTTGTGTGTGTAGTAAAAGAGATGTTGCATTTAATTTATTGTTTTGTTTTATTCACTCATCACCATCATTATTACTGTTTTGTTGTTATTATTATTATTTTTTTTTTGGGTCCGGTTGTGGGGCCTGAATTCTGGGCCTGGGCGCTGTCCCTCAGCTCTTCAGCTCAAGGCTAGTGCTCTACCACTTGAGCTACAGTGCCACTATCGGCTTTTTTTTTTCTTTTCTTATGTGGTGCTGAGAAATCGAACCCAGGGCCTCAGGTATACAAGGCAAGTGCTCTACCACTGAGCCACCTTCCCAGCCCCTTATTGTTATTTTTAGTAGTACTGGGGTTTGAACTCAGGGCCTTATGCTTGCTAGGCAGGAGCTCTACCACTTGAGTTATGCCTCCCTTTTGGAAATGGTTAGTTTTTAAGATAGGGTCTGACGCCTAGGTTTCTTCATGTAGCAAGGATGACATATATGAACAACTCTGCCTAGTTATCATTTGAGATAGAGGGTTTTGTTTGTTTGTTTGTTTTGCATTTAAGCTCACCCCAAATTATGATCCTTCCAATCTCTGTTTTAAAATAATGAGTTTTCACAAGGCCAGGCCACTCTTTATGGCACCCATGACAGATGACCTCATACCAGAGGTTCAAAATCAGCTCTGTAATGGGGCTGTATGGAACACTAGATAGGATAGAGACAACGATTTCCAGATTCCTGATCCTTCCCAGCAGGGGCGGGGGCGGGGTGGTGGTGGTGGTGGTCGGATAGCACTGAGGTTTGAACTCAGAGCCTCACACTTGCTTGGCTTTCTTGTATGTGGTTTGCATTCTACCACTGAGTCATACCTCCAGCCAGGTTTTCTGTTAGTCATTTTCGAGCTGGCATCTTTCAGACTTGAAGGTCCTTAGATCTCAGCCTCCTGAGTAGCTAGGGTTATAGGTGTGAACCATGGAGTGCTTGGCTCGGATCCCTATTTTTAATGACCATATCTTGAACCATGAGACATGCCTTTCTCATTTTATTATTACTACTCAGGTTATCAAAACCTGAGTTATCTAGTGGAGAAGACAGCGGCATTTTCTAAGTCCTAAGACAGAATGGATATAGTCTTCTTAATTAATTAATTAATTATTTTTTTTGGTTCAGGTCATGGGGCCTGACCTCTGGGCCTGGGCGCTGTCCCTCAGCTCTTCAGCTCAAGGCTAGCGCTCTACCACTTGAGCCACAGCGCCACTTCTGGCTTTTTTTCTTTTTGCTTATGTGGTGCTGAGGAATCGAACCCAGGGCCTCATGCATGCAAGGCAAGCACTCTACCACTGAGCCACCTTCCCAGCCCCCTAGTCTTCTTATTTTTGAGAAAATTCTTGCTCAAAAACTATTCAGGACAGAAATGGATTCAACTCCATTGAATTCATGGAAGAGTATAGAATATGCTTCCTGAAATATGAAAATGACTCATCTAAGATATTGACATAAAAGGCACTGCTACGTATAGGCTCCAAATAAATTATATTAAGCTCTTAAATCCTTAAATCTATCTATCTATCTATCTATCTATCTATCTACCCATCCATCCATCTATCTCTCTAATATATTTATGATACATATACACATTCAATGACCTGCGGTTAAGAACTTTTCTGGAAATTCATTCTGCAAAAGCAGGACAAATAAAACTCCATATTTTCGGGGCTCATTTCTCATCTGGGGCGACTTTGGCTAAACCATGGGCTCAAGCCTAGGCACACTCTGCAGCATACAATACCCATCATCAGATTCCCAGTTCCCCAAATTTGAAGCTTTACAAAAGTGGAATTCTCTTAAAATTAATCATCAAAGTTTAGTACTTATAAATCTAAAAGGCCAATTTTATTTCATTATATCACAGCTGATTTGAAGAGCCCATCCTACACCTTCCGCTGCCCTGGGTTTTTTTTTTTTTCTCCCTCTTTTGGTAAAACACATGCTTAAAATAAATATGTCATTTGGGAATATTTTTGACACCCACAGACTTTTCTGGCATTACAACTGTTAGAATGTTCTTTGATGGATTTCTATTTTTCTTGCCATGCTATTTCTGGGCTTTCATGACAAAGCACAGAGATTTAACTTTAGGAGCTCTGGTATTCTGACTAGGAATACCAGAGTTTCTGCTCCCAACCCCCTAGAAAGAAAGGCTTAGGAAAGAAGATGGGATGATGGCAGGCACCAGGTATAAATGGTCAGCCTGTAGTCTAGTCCCACGTTGTGCCATATTCCCTGTCTGCTGGGCCCTCTCTCTCTCCTGCCAGGGTTAGTTATCCTTAGGACAAAGTACCCACCCTGCCCATCTCTCATGCTGAAAACATAGCACATGATGTTTCCTGGGACCAGTTATCTTATAGCCTAAGAGACAGTGCATTTTCCCAAGCCCAGTGAGTTTGGTGAAAGGCCCAAGCACCCTGCCCTCAGTTTCCCGTGAGCTCCAGGGCCTAACAGCTAGCAGAGTGGAATCTGGAGAAGGTGTAGGATGTCACTGGGCGATGAGGAGGAGGGGGCAAAGGGAGAGGAAAAAGGAACACATATCTTCATTTTTATTTTGTGTTTTGGCCTTTTGGGAATTCTGAGAACATAACTTTGGCGGTGATTCATTCTCCATTCCCACGGTACTCTCGGACAGGGTTGGTTTTAGTACTGAGTCATACACAGAAAGCCTGGGGTGATGTACAGTAGATACTCATGAATGGTTAGCAATTCTTTGCATTATTATTTCTACTAGTACATATAGTTTCGATAGCTTTAAAGACTGCTATTGTAAAGGCCATTTTCTCTGGCCGACTTATATTTTGTATTATATTCTTGGTAGTAGTGAGCATTCTACTTGCCCCTTCTGGTTATGATTTAATTACAAATTACAAAAGTATGACATCAAGGATAAAATGTCCAATAAGATACAAAATGGGGGGAACTGTTTGCAGCTTCTCCCTTCAGTCCCAGGCCAGGTTTTGGACCACCTGGCCACTGGCCTCTGCTCTGCATTGTCTGATAGGTGATTTTGGGGGGCTTCATACCCTTTTGTGATACCAGCCCAGCAATTTCTCTGGTCTTCAGGTAACACAGGCTTCTGTTCCATAGTGATTTTTGTGTGTGTGTGTGTGTATATGTATGTGTGCCAGTACTAGGGCTTGAACTCAGGACCTGAGTACTGTTCCTTAGCTTTTTCACTCTATCACTTTAAGCCAACAGCTGCATTTCTGGCTTTTTGCTGGTTAATGGGAAATTAAGAGTCTCATGGGGTTTTCCTGCCCAGGCTGGCTTTGAACTGGGATCCTCAGATCTCAGCCTCCTGAGTAGTTAGCATTACAAGTATGTGAACCACTAGTGCCCAGGTTCATAGTAAATTGTTTCGAAGGCACTGACTGAAATAATCAGGAGCTATACCTTCCCAGAGGAGCTCAACCACCTTCTGCTTCCTTTTTACAGATGTGCCATTCTCCTTGATGGCTCTGTGGGCCATCAAGAATGGAGAAAAGGGAGCATTTCCTTTTATTCTTTTCCCCCTCTTTTTTTTTTTTTGTCAATTACATTCACAAAAGAGAAGCCAAAGGCACCTTCAGGAGATGACCACAGGGCCACGGCCCTGATTCCTCACCTCCTTCTCAGAGAGTGCTTCCGTGTAAGGATTGCCTTGTTGAGAGCCAGAAAGTACCCTGTCCCATTTTCCTCGCAATCAGCCCCATCACTCAAAGAGCAACGCATATGATCCTATTTCCTGTTAGTTCTTGAATGTCTACGTAGGAAGCGTGGCTAATAAAAATCCTTTCAAAGATTGAGTGTGATAAATTTGGTACAGTCTAAGGCTCTTCTGCAGGAAGTCCCTGCAGGTGTGAGGACTGGCTACGCTGCTGATAGTCATCTGGTCCCATTCTTTGCACTCCCACACATCATTGGGCCTGGGACCAATGAATAACACACGAGTGAGCTCACAGCCCATGGTGTAGCCACCGAGGAAACTTCTCTTTACAGCAAAGGACAGCTGAAGTTGTCTCTTCTTATTCCCACATTTTTATTTTTATTTTTGGTAACAGGGCCTCACACTCTTGCTCACTTATAGTTGGCACTCTACTCTTTGCTTGATCCATGCCTCCAGTCTGGCATTTTCCTGGTTAACTGGAGATGGAGTGTTGCAGATTTTTCTGCCTGGGCTGGCTTCAAAGTGCTATCCCTCCAGGTATTTAGCTTCCTGAGTAGCTAGAATAAAGGTATGAGCCGTGGTGGCCTGCTCCCTTCACCATATTAATCAGTACCGAGGGAATACTGCCAAGAGCAAAATTTCCAAAAGCAATGCGGAAATCGCACCACTTTAAGCAAAGGGGTTCAGTGGAAGGCCCTTTCAAAACGACAATCACCTACTGTTGCTTTTCCAAGGCCATTTATCATTTTAGTTGACAACTGTAAGTAGACTCTCAAGACTGAGGCTACGGTACTTTTCACCATGCGAAGGTGGTCACTTGTGGCAGGCTCTCGCAATCCATTCTGCAGGGCACCTGCTGACACACACCTGCTGCCAGACCTCAGTGGACAAGACTGCAGGGACTGGTGTTGCTTCACTCTGGAAAGCCGGACTCCAGCCCTGTCTGTATCTTCCCTGTGTCATCCTATCTTTGCTTTTGCTGCCTGAGACCTGTCATGTTACATCGACTTGTGAGCACTTTGGAGACACTAGAGTTTCCTTCCTTCCTTTTTCTCTTTCTCTCTCTCTTTCTTTCTCTCTGTTTGTTGTGGGGCTTGAACTCTGGGCCTGGGCGCTGTCCCTGTATTCTTCAGTTCAAGGCTAGTGCTCTACCACTTGAGCCACAGTGTCATTTCCAGTTTTCTGGGGGTTAACTGGAGAGAAGAGTCTCATGGAATTTCCTGCCTGGGCTGGCTTTGAACTGTGATCCTCAGATTTCATCCTCCTGAGTAGCTAGGATTACAGGCATGAGCCATCAGCACCTGCCCAGAGTTGCTTTCTTGATGGTCCTCATTAAACCCTTCTTATCCTCCTCCCCGCCAAGGGATATAGCTTATGGGTCTGCTCAGGAGTAGTCATTATGGCAATACTTGAGCTATGAGGTTTCCAGAAAGTAATGCTCATAAAATCTTTTGGTGAGAGCACCCAGAATGAACCTCCACATGCCTCACAGGCTCATCCATGGGACCGAGGTCATAATCAACCAAAGAAACCTGATCTGCTCCAGAAAGAGTGATTCCAAACTTCCTGCCACAGCTTGTTAAGCCTATGGACTTGCTTTTTGACTGCTGGCTTATTCTCAGTATTTACCATCCTCTGCTGACAAGTTTACTTTTAACAGGAAACCCAGCAGACAGAGTAGAGTTCACATTACCCGATCTTTATTAGATATACTTAGTCTGAACTGAGGCTTGCATAGAGCTGCTCTGGCCAATTTGGCTTACTCATTTTGTTACTGTGAAAGAAAAATTACAGATGATATATGTGCCTGGATTCCTTACTGAAAACTCAATGATTAAAATTACTCCTTTGTGTGTATGTATGGGTGTGTGTATGTGTGTGTGTGTGTGCGTGTGTGTGCATTTGTGTGCATATGTGCTAGGGATTGAACCCAGCGCCTTGCAAATGCTAGACAAGCAGTCTACCACTGAGCTACATTCCCAGCCTCCAAATCACTGACTTATAAATTGAAGACCAGGATCAAAATAAAACACCAAGTATCAATAATCTAGTATATGGATATAGGTCTCAAGTGTTATGAGAAAGTGGAGTTAGACACAATGAGACAAGCACTCTGTATTCTGAATCTACTTGTGATTTTTTTTTTTTAATACATCCCTCCCTGTTCCCTTATCAACTTTGTTAGGAACCCCCGGAGACAGGGCAAGACACTGTAGGAATATGTTTGATATATAGTTGGATTAAATAACAACCTAATATATCAAACATATCACACAGAGGCTTGCAGAAAAGGCATCCAGGTTTGACTGAGCTTGAGAATAGGCACAGTACGGAAGGTTATGGCTGCAGGGGGGGGGGTAGTCACCAGTGCAGCAACTCCCAGCCTCACTGTGGAGCTCAGGTGTGTCTGCAGGTGTGGAAGCGATGCTATCGGCGATACTGTCAGTACTTCACCACGCCCTTGACATTCTCATTTGGCCCTTATGCCATCTTCTGAAGTGAACAAGGGAAGGGATTCAACGTTTGTTCATCTTTTGTGTCTGAGTGATTCCAGGCCACGGGTGGGAACGTATCACAATCATCTTCATAAACCATGGACCCGTTCTCCTTTTAAAACAGGTAACCCGAGGATGTAGTTAGCTGAGTAGGGTAAACAAAATCATCACCCTTGATCAAAATGACTCCCCAAAGCAGGACAAATGCTCCCCAGTTGTAAAAGGGTGACATATACATGGACATGCATGTGGGCACTCTGTGTGTGTGTGTGTGTGTGTGTGTGTGTATGTGTGTGTGTGTAGAGGGGTTAGAGTTACAGAGATAGGAATGCAATGGCAACTGTTTATTTAGGGTACCCTAAGGAATTTTTGTTAAGTTTATGGGAAGGGATGGAGAGAATTAACTCCAAGATAGTGTTTGGTTTTGGTGTCAGATTAGTTTTTTTAAACTAGGGGAGAATTACTTTATAAAGGCAAGGAGGGTGTTATATTTCCTGCAGACATTTTTTTCACAGAGTGGATGGCCCTCTCAGGCAGACACAAAAAAGATGCCTTGGGTGGATAGTGGCAGAGAAGCCTCTTGGACATCAGACAGAGAAAGATGTCAGACCACTCTAAGGTGTTCTAGAAGTACCAAGTACTCTTCCTATATGAAGGTGGGAGCCATCCAAAAAAGGAAGGATTCCTCAGCTCTTATGGAAAAACCCTTACTTTAAACACAAAAGGCAATGGTCCTCGCCTAGTACAGGAGTTCCCACTAGACTGCTGCAGTAGTCGGAACTAACCTTATGGTGCCACTGTTTTTATTTTAATTTAATTTTGTGTTACCAGCGGTGGAACTCCAGACCTTGTATATGGCAGGCAAATGCTCTGGGAATTATACTTCCCAGCACAAAGTACTGTTCTTTTTTTTTTTTTTTAACACATTGTTTTCTAAAATTTTAAAGCACAAACCCTGTCATTATCCCAATGATATCATCTGTGTGTGTGTGTATGTGTGTGTGTGTGTGTGTGTGTGCAGTCCTGGGGCTTGAACTCTGGGCCTGGGCTCTTTTGCTCAAGGCTAGTGTTCTACCACCAAGCCATAGCTCCACGTCTGGCTTTTTGGGTAGTTAATTGGAGATAAGAGTCTCAAAGACTTGCCTGTCTGGGCTGGCTTCACACCACAATTTTCAGATTTCAGCCTCCTGAATAGCTAGGATTATAGATATGAGCCACCAGCTGATACCATCATTTTTTTTTTTTTGGTCCAGTCGTGGGGCCTGAACTCTGGGCCTGGGTGCTGTCCCTCAGCTCTTCAGCTCAAGGCTAGCGCTCTACCACTTGAGCCACAGCGCCACTTCCGGTTTTCTGGTGGTTTATTGGAGATAGGAGTCTCACGGTCTTTCCTGCCCGGGCTGGCTTTGAACCACGATCCTCAGATCTCAGCCTCCTGAGTAGCTAGGACTACAGGCGTGAGCCACCAGTGCCTGGCTCACATTACATTTTTTGATGAAAAAAATTGTGAATGTCTTTACCAAGTCTAGAGTGATTAGGAGATGTTCAGAAAACATGAAGGACCTAAGAACGTTCCCAGCCTTAACAGATTCATGATATGCTTGGATTTGTTGGACACACCTCAGCTCAGATACTGCTTTTAAGTGACTTGGCATATTTTTGGCCTGAGACTCTATCCTTCAGTCTTATATAAACACACACACACACACACATACACACACACAATTTTAGGCACACTTAAGACTGAAGATCCAACATTTTTAGAAGAGAAAGAGCCAGATTTCATTTTCTAACAATATGAGGGCTTGGAAAAGAGAGGTGAGTTATAGGTACCATTAAGGACTTCCTTGAATCAGAAGTTCTGGTTCTTCCATTATCTTGTTAAAGACAGTTATGGGGGTGAGGGTGGGAAGCTATATCGCCTCTTACCAAGGCAAGGCTTGGTCCCTGGAACCTAGTTCATTATTCTTTTATTTAGAGAGTGTTCTATTATAGCCCAATCTAGAAGAATCTCTTTTAAATGGCTATTTCTTTTTAAGATACACTCATGATCTTCCTGCTTTATATGATGGAACTCGATCAAGATTGTGAATACCCCGATTCTTCCTCTGGACCTGGGTAGTAAACTTAAAACACTCACTCACTCACTAGGGTTTTTCCATACCCTGTATAAAAAGGTGCTGGGTAGGTAGAGTGGGTTTGCTGCTTTCCAGTTTAACCTCAGGGAAGGAGACAGACTCTGGGCAACGTGGCTCACACCATTACCCAGCCACCCACTGGAAGACTGGCTGTTGAGAGACAAACCACCGCCAATGAACACTCACTTTTGGCTTTGCTCTTGGCTTCAGTTGTTCTAACTTCTTAGCAGCAGCCTCAATGGATGCTGCAGCCCCCAGTAATTCTGTCTCTGCAATGACTGTTGGGTCTTCTGGATCTACCCACTCTGTTCCTAAAATCAGTCAAGAAAGAAAAAAAAAGGTCATTCTTGCTAGGTACAGACACAAGTGGGCACTGGCTTAGTTACACACAAGATCTGAAGGCCTGTGAACCTACTATTCTGTGGTGTCCTGAGGCACCTGGTCTCTAGCTCTCATCAGGGCCACCTGGATGCTGGGGTGGAAAGGACCACTAACCTGTGTTGTTTTGTTTTGGTTGGTTCTGGGGCTTGGACTCTGGGATCCTTTCGCTCAAAGCTAGCCCTCTACTACTTGAACCACAGTGCCTCTTCTGGCTTTTTCTGTGATTAAGTGGAGATTAATTGAACTGTGATCCTCAGATCTCAGCCTCCTGAGTAGCTAGGATTATACACGCGCGAGCCACTGGCCACCAGCTGCTAACCTGTTTTTCTAAACAAGTTATATGCTTATCCACAGCCTTAAGAAAAGCCATTGATGGCAGCTTTACAAACCTAGATCTTAGAAATCAAGTCCTGAACCATTAATTGCTTTCTAACAGTTCACAAGGGGGAAGTGGTAGCCTCAGGAGGCTCTAGGCCACAGTGATTTGCTATTCCCTTGTGAGATTATACAAGGAATGTATGTGTCAACTCAAAGAAAGGCAGACTGTAAGAAAACCTTTCCCTGGAGAGTCAATGGCTTCTGTAAGCAAAAAGGCTATGCAAGCTTGGTACTGGCAGGTGACACCTGTAATCCTAGCTCTCAGGAGGACTGCTATCTGAAGCCAGTTTGAAAAATATAAATCTGAGAGGGAGTCTTATCTCCAATTAACCAGCGGATAAAGCAGAAGTGGAGGTGTGGCTCAAGAGGTAGAGCATCAGCCTTGAGTGAAAGGAGAGTACGAAACCCTGAGTTCAAGCCCTGGTATTGGTATGTACACAGAGTACTCAGTACTTCTCTCTAAACCTGAAGGTGTTATTTAAGGGACAATGAATACCTTGGTGAATAAAAATGTAGATGAAATCAAATGATGAGACCTTCCCTACCCCCACTAAAGAGTTGTTATAGATGGATTACACCACTTAAGGTAGAAGTACTTAATACAAAGGCTGAATAAAAGTATTATTATTATTATTATTATTTTTACCTTGGAGGTACTGGGGCTTTAACGCTTGGCAAGCACTCAACCTCTTACGCTCGGCCCCCAGCCCTTTCTGCTTTAGTTATTTTTCAGACAGTGTCTCACACTTTTGCTTGGGCCTGCCTGGGCCTGTGATTCTCCCTACTTCCATCTACCATGCAGCTGGGATTACTACTTGTTGCCTTTTTATATTTATTGTTTGTTTATTTATTTGCCAGTCCTGGGGCTTGAACTCAGGGCCTGAGCATTGTCCCTGAACTTCTTTTGCTCAAGGCTGGCACTCTACCACTTGAGCCACAGTGCCACTTCTGGCTTTTTCTGTGTATGTGGTACTTAGGGATTGAACCCAGGGCTTCAAGCATGCTAGGCAAGCACTCCTACCATTCCCCACCCTACTTGTTGCCTTTTTAAAATCTATCTCTATTCCCATTTGTTTTTAAGTACCTCACTGCACTCCTAGTTGTATCTGACAGTAGGGGGCGGAGGGCTGTGATGTTACTCTACTCAGTTTGCTGTCACTAGTGTTACCTCAGAGTATGAGCCTACAAGATGACAAGCAAAGCGGACCCACCTTTCATGGCTTCTGCTGCCTGGATGAGCTCTGTGACTGCACTGGCGACTCGTTTGGAGAAAGCAGCCAGCTGATGCTTGAGTTCTGGAGTTGGTTTCTGAAGAATCTATGGGTGAAGAACAAGTCGGGTACATGAGAAAGGTGAGGCAGCCATTTGTGACAGGAAGGTCACTGCTACTGGGGGACGTGCTGGTGGATCTGGAATCAGGCATCCTGCTTCCAAATTGTCTCTCTGTTTCCAAGTGACTTCAGGCAGAATGGGAGGTAGGGACGCGGGGGGTGGGGTGGGGTGGGGATTGGGGTGGACACTTCATTCTCACTGGGCTTCCATGACTAATGAACCAAGTCTCTAGATCATTTCTGTCAGTTCCCAAAAGATCTCAAAGGAGATGAAGTCCTTATTTCTCCTCAATGCATTCTTGTATTTGTATTTAAGAAACAAATGCATGCACGTGCAAAGTACCCAAAGTCTAAGGGCACTCTGAGCAACCAGAAAAGCCTTAGGCATAGGGCCAGCTGGTACTTGAGACAAAGCAAAAGTGGGAACAGAGGCCATGTGTGGTTCGGGTGGTCTTGCAGACAAAATTCCTATGTGGGCAATTACTAATTGAACACACAAATCACTTCTAGAGTTTGACCATACACTCTCCTAGGAATGCATGTATACCCTCTTTGGACCTAGTTCAAAGATTACATTTCTTGTTTGATTTCTTCTTAAATTCCTCCAAGACAAGAGCTGAGAAATGAGATAAGGTCTCCGCAGTACCTTTTACCCTAGACTTAGATTCTAAAGTGAGTGATCTACTCCTAGTTGTGAAGGTTTTTTTTTTTTTCCTGACAATTCTTGACCTTGTTTCATGATGGAATTTCCAGATTCTGATTCATCGAGACTAAGGAAGGCCAGGGGTGGTGGCTCACACTTGTAATCTCAGGTATATGGAAAGTTGAGGTGGGAAGATCAAGATCTGGGGCCAGGACTGGGCAAAACCACAAGACTAACAGGGAGTAAAACACAATCTTGAAAATAATCTGATGGCTTGTGTGAGCAGAAACATTCAGACATCCTTGGTGCTCAATGTCCATGTATCCTGGAGGCTTACTAGCTGAGGTATAAAAGATGCCTCAATCTCCTCGTTGATTACCGGCATGCACCACCACGGCCAGCAAAGATGCTTTGATTTTGCCGGGCGCTGGTGGCTCACGCCTGTAATCCTAGCTGCTCAGGAGGCTGAGATCTGAGGATCGCGGTTCAAAGCCAGCCCGGGCAGGAAAGACCGTGAGACTCCTATCTCCAATAAACCACCAGAAAACTGGAAGTGGCGCTGTAGCTCAAGTGGTAGAGTGCTCGCCTTGAGCTGAAGAGCTGAGGGACAGTGCCCAGGCCCAGAGTTCAAGCCCCACGACCGACCAAAAAAAAAAAAAATCCCACCATTGTTGTTGCTAATCTCTTACTGGGTCTAAGTTGAAATTATATAATCACAGGTAAATATGTATAGGGAAATGCACTGTATTATATAGACTCTGGAGTTACCTGTGGAGTGTCTTGAAATGCGTATTTCAAGATAAGGACTGGAACAACTGGATGTTCCATAAAGAAAAAGACACCTCTGGAAGCCTTGCTGACCTTATTCTTTTTTTTTTTTTAATACTTTTTTTAATTGTAAAAATACTGTACAGAGGGGTTACAGTTACATGAGCAAGGTAATGAGTACATTTCCTATCAAGCATTGTTGCCTCCTCCTTTGTTTTCCCCTACCATCCCTTCCCTCCCACCTCACAACTACACTTCCCCCTAACCCCTTGCCTAAATTGTAAAGTACGTTTTTCAACGTAGTGTCTTATACATCTCATTGTTACAATGGCTGACCTTATTCTTTTTACCCAGGATTTCCAGTGAGTGTGTTCCCCGGCTCTCATTACATCTCAGCACACCTGAGATGTGTGTTCCTTTTGCCCCAGGACCTCTTGGACTATGAGTGTTGACTGGCTGAGATGTTTGTTCCTTGATCTGTGCAGTTTATATCAATATCCATTCACACATCACATATTAGCCAGTTTATGACCCAGAATGGCTTTCTCCTATTATACCCCCTAACAAGAAAAACCCCAACAATGAACAACTAAACCAACAGCTGCTTTGGCACTGACTGCAGTTACCCGGATGAATATAATGACCTTCAAAGAGACCTTAGGTTAACATTTGAGAACAGTTTTTCAGAAGCAGGCAATGCTAGAATGAACTAAGGGGCTGGTAATAAATAACAAAAATGCTTAGGACTTAGTCCCGGGTCACATAGCTGGCACACAAAAGGAGTGACAATATGTGTAGATGTTAGGAGGGAAGGCGGCCTGCTGGCTCTGTTTGTTTGAGGTTTGGGAAGAAAAGAGCAATTTTAGGAAGGGGTATCAATTCTCTTTGGGGCCAGGGGTGTGGGACAGTAGTCCTGACTCCTGGACTCAACAGGAGATATACACTGATATACAGTGTATATAGATATACACTGTGCATACTCCCTGGTCCTCAGTGGCAGGATTGATGGAGAGCCAGGCCACCCTAGAAAGAGGAAGTCTGCCTGAACGCGAGGTTCCCACACAGGCAGCCCACCAGCCAGAACTACTGAGCCTCCTGGGTATAGCAGGCTGGAGGGGCCGCTTTCAACTTGACCTAAGCTATTTGTTCAAGGATGGAGGAGATCTCGAGAGGCTAGTAGGCTTCTGGCAGTGGTCCCTCCTAAGTGGTCATGGAGGCTGAGTTCCCTATCTTGTAGGATGCTCTGGGATCTCTGGAAGGAGATCTCCTGGTCCTTTGCAGGGCGGCCCTGACCCTCCATTGCTTCATCTCTCCATTGCTTCATCCCTCCTCTGCTCATTCCTTGTCTATGCTGGTCCTGCCTCTTTGCTGCCAGAGAGAACTGAGCTCTCTTGGATTCCAACTGTACCTTCCGCAGACTGTAATTCCTGCCTGGTGTGCATCAAGATCAAACTTGCCTGCTCAGTCCAGGCTGAGCCCCCTAAGAGAAGCCCCCATAAACCTCCAAGGGCGGGGGGGGGAGGCATTCCTAAGGAAAGGAAGGTCTGCAATCAAGTCATCCCTGGCAAGTGAGAGCAACCCACAGCTCCTCCCCACCCCGACCCCTTCTCACCACCAAGACATGCTCCAGAAGGTCCAGGTAGCCGAGGGTGCATTCCGTCCCATAGCGCAGGGCTCTGGTCCGTACCTCCTCACTGACATCGGGATGGAAGGAGGCTTGCTGGAGAGAGAAAGAAGCACGTTGACATCTTAAAGCAGAGGTATTGGACAGCCCTGGGCCAGTGACTCCTAACCTAGACAGCCCTGGGCATCTCCTGACAGGAGATGAGGCCTGACACATTTATCTGGGATCAGGTCAGAAGCTTCCTCTGACTCCCTGCATAGATCCACGGAGTCTACAGGCTGACTCTTCACGGCCTGAGGGCCAGATGACAGAAGCACCTATTCCAAGCCATCTTTCTGCCCTTTCTTATCCCATGCCAAAAAAAAAAAAAGGTAAAATTAAAAAAAAATCTCCCCGGGCACTAAAACATCCAGTAAAGATGCACAGTGAGAGCTTCTGACAGGAGGGTCTTGAATTCTGCTCAGCACATCCTCTTCTCAGAAGCCTCAGGAGTCTTCAAGGTGCTTCTCGGTCCCCAGGCTAATGAAGCCTAGGTTTCCACCCTTTACCTGGCTGACCACATGGAAAGTACTGTGGGGACTCTGTGTTCAGGGCCCTAGGCACCTGGGAAACTTCAGACTGGGCCCTTGAAGTGACCTCAGGCAAATAACTCGTGGGAGATAAGCAAACTGGGGCTTGTGGTGAACACAGCCTCTCGGCTCTTACTCTTGTGACCTGCAACTTTGAGCCATTCATAAGGCATTAAAGATGGCATCTAATTCACAGGGTGATCAGAGCAAAACATATCCAGGTTAAGAACAATTTCAGATACACCATCTTTGTGCCCACATAGGTGAGAACCTATCTTTTTTTGTTGTTGTTGGTCATGGGGCTTGAACTCTGGGCCTGAGTGCTGTCCCTCAGCTCTTCAGCTCAAGGCGAGCGCTCTACCACTTGAGCTACAGCACCACTTCCGGTTTTCTGGTGGTTTATTGGAGATAGGAGTCTCA